TTGCCTTTTGAATTATGCTCTTTGTTATTTCCTATATGCTACTTCTGGAGGCATTAAAATATTTCAAGTTTGTATAACTAGAAAATCTTACTTTTAGTTTTCAAAGGTATGTTTGCTAAGTATAAAATTCAAAGAGGACAGATCTTTTCTTTCGGTCCTTTAATCAGTCTAGTTTCTTACACACTTGGTCCTTTTCTTACTTTCTAATGTGGAATCAGGTGCTATTTAATTTTGTTCTTCCATAGCTAATATTTTTTATGCATATGCTTTAATGATTTTTTTTCTTTACAATAAGTTTTGGACAATTTCATTTTTGTGTATCTTGGTATGATTTTATTTAAATTTCTTGTGCTAAACGTTCATTTTTCTTGGAAATATGGTATTATAAGTTGTACTAAATTCAGAAATTTTAAATCTTTAAATATTCATTGCCTACTCCTTTCCACTTTGAGAATTCTAATTATATGAATATAAGTTTCTTGGTTTTGACAGTGAACTATTATGACTGATCTGTAAATTCTTTCTTCATTCTTATTTTGAACAATTTTTATTGTTATATTCATTTATGTTTATAAATAATTTATTTTCAATTTGCAATCTATTAAAAAATTTAAAAAAATCAAAACTCACATTTAAAAAAAAAAGGAAAAAAAAAAAAACAATTTCAAATGTAAAATCAGTAACAAAGCAGAATACTCACTTGTAAATACTAGTACCAAAATGATGGCCATATCAATGAAGAGAAACTGGAAGTCACCCAGGTTACTTAGGATCTACAGAAATAATTTTAAAACACAGTTTGTTTTTTTTTAAATGTATGTGGCACAGGGTCTCCCTACCCAGCTTGGGACTCACAGTGATCCTCCTGTCTTCCGTTCCCCAGAACTGGGGTTACAGGCATACACCACACCCCCAGCCTCAGTGGCCAGCTCAGTGCCTGGGCAAAGTCAGTGGTGCACTTGGTGCTGGGGACTGAACCTCGGTCCCTGCGCTTGCCTAAGCAGATGCTTAGTCCACTGAACTGCCTTGGCGGTCCAAGACATAGTTATTTTTAATGCATTATTAAGTTATACTTTATTTTTTTCCCCATTACTGACAATTTCAAAAGAACACAAAGTTCTTCAAAAGAACTTGCTTAAAAATGGAAAGGTCTGTGCCCCTGGAATTAATGAAATACATAATCATAAACACTTGATTTAATATATTAGTACAAAAGGCATGCCCTTAAAATGGGATTCAGGGGAAAAAAAATTCATGCAATAATAACCTCTTAAACAGCAGTTGTGGTAACACACCCATATAATTCTATCACTCAGGAAGCTGTGGCAGGAAGATCACCAAGAGCTTGAGGCTGGGCTACAAGGTAAGTTCAAGCCCATCCTGAACTACACAGCAAGACATAAAGCAAGTCTTAGACTAAGCAAGTCTAGGAACTATATGGCAAGTCTTAATAACCCCCCCACCAAATCAAACAGGTATAAGTCTCAGCATAAGAGCCCCACCCCCACCCCTGGGCACAAGGCTGTACTCACAGAATATAGCAGAGTAACACTGGTGTATTGAATGATACTGTATAATGCCATGAACTTAAACACACAGAAGGAAGTCATCAAAGCAGCACGGCCTTCCCTAGGCAAAGAAATGTTGAGTGTGAATGAAAACATTACAAACTCTTGCTCCCACACATAGTTATATCTTGATGTGTGCATGTAAACAGTACCAGTGTGCATGTTTACTTAAAGAGCTAAGGAAAACAGAATCTGTCATAATAAGTTACAGCGTAATCTGGTGACTAGTCATTAAAATTCACCCTTATACAAAGAAATAATGCATGACAAAAAGAAAAAATGAAAAGCATTTTAATGTATGGTACCTGATGAGGTTTGGCACACAGGAAATACTGGGGGTTTTAGAAGTGAAAGGCGATGCCACGGAAGCCTCAAGTTCTGACAAGGAAATGCCTCCATGCGCCCTCTTCAAAGCCTGAAGGTTGTCAGAAAGCTAGCTAAGTTTTGTGAATGTCACAAGGCAGGAATAAGAAGTAAAGAAGTAAATGGCAGGACTATACTTACACCACAATCATTTGCTCCATCACCGCACATCCCAACAAAATAACTAAGGATCAAAATAATGGGAAAGTATTAATTTCTTGAAAGACACAGCATCTGTGTTGAGAAGACTTCTCCAGTACACATTAAGAAGACTAAGAGACCAAGAGGCTCTGGATGGAACCAATGGGCCTTCCCATTAGGATGGTCGCAGGCATTGTGCTCTGCTAACAGCACTGGTCAGAGAGTGCACTGGCTGTTACAGTCCCATTTACATCACAGCAAGGGCAAATCTCTTGGTATCGCAATCTCCTAACCATACAGCAAAGGGCTTGTGACGATTATTCTTTGGTACACTTAACTTTCTTATGTACTGTTAAGATTTCTCCCTTAAAAATGTCAAATACAACTGTATACTGAAATTAGAGTTTCTTCTCTCAGGATAGTGACCTGACTGTATTCCACCCTAAGGTGTCCCCTACTGAAAAAACTGTGAATGTTGTCCTTGAGCGACAAACAAACACAAGAGCCTATTTTAAAAATGCACTTAAAGGCCCAGGGA